AACAATAATAATAATAATAATAATAATAATAATAATAATAATGATAATGATGCTGTTGATGATGATGATAATGATAACAATAATACTAATATAAATGTCAATAGTAATACTAATACTAATAGTAGTGACAATCATAAGAATGTCACGGATAATGATGGTAAAATATTAATATTGATAACAACGATAACAAAAACAATAATGATGATGATAATGATGATGATAACAATAATAATAATATTAACATTAATAATAATAATGATAATAATAATAATAATGACAGTGATAATAATGATAATATTGAGGATATTTACTGCTAGTAATGCAAATAATAACAATGGTAATAGAGATGATTATGATAATGATAATAGTAATAGTAATAATGTTAATGATGATAATGACAATAACAACAATAATAATGATAATACAAATGAGGATAATGATAATAATGATAATAGTAATGGTAATAATATTAATTGTTATTATTATTAACGTTATCATTATTATTATTATTATCATTATTATCATTATTATAATCGTTATAAAAATAATGATAATCATAATGATGATAATAATGATAATGATAGTGTCATTATTATTATCATCATTATCTTCATATTGTTATTATCTTTTTTCATCATCATTTCTATAATTATCTTTTGATAATAATGATAATAATAGTAATAATAATAATAATAATAATGATGATGATGATGAGAATAATAATAATAATAACAATAATGATAATAATAATAATAATAATAATAATAATAATAATAATAATAATAATAATAATGATAATAATGATAATAATAATAATAATAATAATAATAATAATAATAATAATAATGATAATGATAATGATAATAATGACAATAATAATAATAGTAATAATAATAACAATAATGATAATGATGATGATGATGATAAGAAAATAATAATAATAACTAACACAAACACAAACACAAAGACACAAAGAAGCTACAGTAAGAAATGAAAATAAATCGATCTATTTTCATTTCTTACTGTGGCTGTATTCCTTTTCAATAATAATAATAATAATAATAATAATAATAATAATAATAATAATAATAATAATAATAATAATAATAATAATAATGATAATAATAATGACAATAATAATGATGATAATAATGATGATAATGATAATGATAATAATAATAATAATAATAATAATAATAATAATAATGATAGTAATGATAGTAATAATAATGATAATAATAATAATGATAAATAAAGATAGCAATGATAATGATAGTAAAAATAATAATAGTAACAATAACAATAATAATGCTAATAATGCTGATGATGAGAAATATAATAACAATTGTTATTACTATAATCATTATTATCATCATCATCATCATCTTTGTTATTACCATTATAACTCATTACCATGAAGGATAATATCTTAGTCACCCATCCAATCACCGGAATTCTCATTTTCTGTATCCATTTTCTTTAAGCATATATGACAGAAAACGAGTCTGGCCTTGTCTCCACCATATATTCAAGAGGGACTTAACAGGGATGTGTAAGGTAACGCGAATGAGTACCGTGACTTTCGAATTTACTAGTAATTTGACAAAGGCTAAGCTTAAAATCGAATGATGATAAATAGAAAGTTTCAGATCTCGAAGTATTTATACTTCCTCATAGCAATCTACCCAATGGATTATATATCATTGCAACTTATACTGCAAGCTTAAGATGACATAATGGATATTGAGTTTTAAAATAATTCGCTTTTTCGACTTGCAGTGGAAAGCGTTTACATTTTCTCTTTATTTGGACCATAGAGTGATCAAAGTATAGACTTATTCAAACCAACTACTTTAGTCGCGTAAAGACGAGTTGTATTCGTTTTCTTTTACTATGAAGGGGTATCATAGAAAACGAGTATTCTATCTGTAGGCGGTTTTGTAAGGTAAACTATTATATATATAATAGTTAGAGATGCAATAAATATGTTATTATTAAATACATTCACTTGCATTAAGTGATGTGTGTCAGTTTTAACCAAACAAGGTCATATAACCATCAATAACATCATAACGAATTACGTGTTTCCATTTCTACTGCAAACATTATAATGATATTAGTGATGATAATGATAATAGCAATAATGATAACAGTAATAATAATGGTAATAATAACATGATTATTACTATCATTATTATTATCATTATTATCATTATTATTACCATTATTATTGTTGTTGTCGTCATTATCATTATCATTATTACTATCATTATTACAGTTATATTAATAAAGATGATAATAACAATACTAATAATAACAACAATAATGATAAGAAAAAGAAAAATAATTAGCAAGAGAGGAAATACTCCCTTACTTGTGGCTGATTGAGTGCAGCAGCGTCTGGAGGACACACTGGGTGTAGGTGTGCGACCAGCGGTATCCAAGCATGAAGAGCCGCTGCATCTCCTGCTCCAGGAGCCGCAGGTCCTCAGACCCGAGA